ATATATTTGTTCATTTTTAGAGACAGAGCACATGTGAGCGGGGTGGGGGTGTGTGCAGGGAGCAGATGGAGAGGAGAGAAACAGACTCCTCTCTGAGCACAGAGCCCAACACAGGGCTCTGTCTCACGACCCTGAGATCATGACCTACACTGAAGTCAGACATTTAACCAACTGAGCCACCCAGGCACACCCTCTGGAAACATTTCTTTCTTTCTTTCTTTCTTATTTATTTAAATTCAATTAATTAACATATAGTGTATTATCAGTTTCACAGGTAGAGTTCAGTGATTCATCGGTTGCATATAACACCCAGTGCTCGTTCCATCACACACCCTCCTTAATGCCCATCACCCAGTTACTCCATCCCCCCACGCACCTCCCCTCCAGCAATCCTCAGTTTGTTTCCTGTAGTTTTTTTAAATTTTTTATTATTATTTAGTTAGTTTATTTTTATTTTTTTATTTTTTTTTGTTTCCTATAGTTGAGTCTCTTGAAATAAGTCAATCAGAGAAGGACAATTATCATATGATCTCATTGATATGAAGAATTTGAGTAACAAGACAGGATCATAGGGGAAGAGAGGGAAAAATGAAACAAGGTGAAACAAGAGAGGGAGACAAACCATAAGAGACAGGAAACAAACTCAGGGTTGCTGGAGTGGTGGGGGGTGAGAGGGATGGGGGGGCTGGGTGATGGACACTGGGGAAGGTATGTGCTATGGTGAGCGTTGTGAATTGTGTAAGACTGTTGAATCACAGACCTGTACCCCTGAAACAAATAATACATTATATGTTAATAAAAAAAAAGTCTGTTACAGTTTGTCTCCCTCTGTGATTTCATCATTTTATTTTTCCCTCCCTTCCCCTATGATCCTCTGTTTTGTTTCTTAAATTCCACATATGAGTGAAATCATATGATAATTGTCTTTCTCTGACTAACTTATTTCGCTTAGCATAATACTCTCTGGTTCCATCTATGTCATTGCAAATGGTAAGATTCATTTTTTTGATGGCTGAGGAATATTCCATTGTGTATATATGTATGTATGTATGTATGTATGTATGCACCACATCTTTATCCATTCATCTGTCAATGGGCATCTGGGCTTTTCCCACAGTTTGGCTATTTGGAAACATTTCTTAATGTCCTTGATGATCACAAAAGTGTCCTTGTAATATCTCGTTGAAATTTACGTTTATGTTTTAAATATTTTTCTCTACTAATGTTATACTTGACAATAAAAAAACTAAATACTAATAAGATACTTTGAGAGAATTCAATGCTGTGCTTTCTATATTTGATTTATTTAAGGAAGGCAAATATTTTTTGTGGGAATGAAAATATCTAGTGAAGGGAAAATATTAAAACATAAGCAAGAATAACTGATTTTTTTAAGGAATCTCAACTTAGGGATGTAAATATGAAATGATTTTATTCTAATAATTACCTCCTAATTTCCTATACTAAAGGTGGCCATTTTCTTGGTGAGGGGTTAAAAAAAAAAAAAAAGGACTGTTCGCTCTTCCTTCCAGGTGTCTACAGGTGGCTGTGATCTTTTTTCTTTTAATTTTTTTTTTTTTTTAAGATTTTATTTATTGGGTGCCTGGGTGGCT